CAGAAACTTTGCATTGTATTTGAAAAAAACAAACAAACTGATAAGCAAATGAGAGAGATCTTACGAAGATTCAGGACAGAAATTGCTGTGGCTTTTATGTCCTTTTATCTGATCCAATTTTGCTTCAGCTGAATGACCAGGCCTTTTGTGATAAGAGTGACAAGTTGGTTCTTCTATTTATTATTCTTTTAATTTTCTAGTGGCCTTTGTGTTGTATAATATGTTTAAATAGATTATAACACAGACAGTCTCCAGATTTTGAATGAGTTCTATTGCTAATTCTGTGTTTAAATTGAATTTGTACATAAGTCAGAATGTTAGGTATGGTTTGTATCTAACATCAGTTAGTCAAATATATTTCTTAATATATAATATATACAGTGTACCTCTGCATGCATAAAAAACATCAAAGAAACACTTCCAGATACACTAAAACATCTGTAACATAATGATACAATAATAATAATAATAAGGAGCTCTTGATGGTATAGTGGTTAAAGCATTTGGCTGTTAACCAAAAGGTGAGTGGTTTAAACTTACCAGCCACTCTGTGGAAGAGAATTGAGTCATTCTATTCCTGTAAAAGCTCTGGTAGCATAGTGCCTAAGGCACTTGATTGCGAACCAAAAAGCTGGTGGTTCAAACCCACCAGCCACTCCTCAGAAGGAAGATTGGGCAATTTACTTCCATAGTGACACTCCCTCAGAAACCCAAGGAGCGATCACTATGAGTCAGATCCCTGATGAGGTTCGCTGTGAGTCAGAATCGACTTAACGGCAGTGAGTTTGGTTTGGTTTTAATAACAATAATAATAATTATTTTATGTACTCGCAAAGTAGTGCCCATTTGTTATTATGAACCATGGTATAAGCTTTGAATTTGAAATACAATAGGCTTTGCAGAAGTTGATTGCAACTGCTGGTTGTACTTCAGGTGTTAACCCAACGATTGCCTGTATATAGAGTCTACAGAAGCAAAGCCCCAAATGTTTTCATTTGCATTTGATTGATGTATAGTTAGGGTTTAATAAACTCTGCATTGCTTTATAATTAACATTACAATGATAAAGAATGGCTTCTTTAGTTTTACCTTATAATAATAGACACTGCATAAAGCACAAATTAAAAAAAGGACCTGTTTCAATTGGTTGTTTGCTTACCTGTCTTTTCAGAATATGAAAATTATTAGATTTGTCTGATAAATACTTTTCTTTATAGTGTATTTATGTTAGAAATCCCTTATTCCCTTTAGTTCTAACTCTGTTCAATCTGCACATTTTTGGGATATTCTGGATTATTATACATGTGTCTGATATCAATTTATAATCTTGTCATCTACAAAACTCTATTTAACCTCTCATCAGATAAATCTATATGTTACTAGACTTTCTGAATGTCAACAGATATCTCTGATACTTTGTGACAGCCATTTCTTGGATAGAAGGACAGAAAATTGCATTTTGCTAGACTGAGAAATCTATGGCTGTTCTAATTGTTGTTTATTGGTACGATAAAGAAATTTAATTTTTAATATTGACTTATAGTCAATAAATCAATGTTCATTCATTAATTCAAAACCAGCTATGATCCTGGTGGAGTTATAGACCTTAGGGATATCGTAGAGAACAAACCAGCTGTGGTAAGTTCTGTGAGTTCAGGTTTGATCAAGAACCATGAGAAACAGTAACACACCAGCTCTTTTGGGGGCAATGCTTGGACAGGGTGGAATAAGAAGGGGAGCCCCTCAAAGCAGGAGACCTTTCAGAGGCAGAACCACAGACCTACTAACCAAAAGAGGGAAATAGAGCAAGGGACCTTCTGGAGGAGAGGGGAAATCAAAGAGGGAATTTATGAGTTTATGTGTCTAGGTGATTTCACTTAGCAACAAGGTGGGGAGTCTCTGGGTCATAGAGCTCCAAAGGGCAGCAGAGGTTTGGAGTTTTTTATAGCTATAGGGTTCATCTGTGGTTAGGAGATGTTGAGTGCAGTTTTGCAAGATATATACTTTATTTATCTACTATATAAAGTAGATAGGCTCTGAAGAGTTAAAAATATGTTCATTTGGACTTAAAGCAATTAGTGTGAGAATTTGAGTAGCACCAGTGTGCTTTGGGCTAGTAATGGTCATAGCCTGCTATAAAGAAATAAACTACATGGAGGTCATTTTAGGCTAATACACAGAGATCATCTCTGGTTCATTTATATAACACAAGATAAGCCTTATGAATAGTTCTCTAATTGAGAAGGGAGAGAGGTAGGCAACCAATAGGTAAGCAAATATTAAACAGGATGATTCTGGAGAATACTAGTGGCTATGAAGAAAATAAAGCACTAAAGAGGAGTGCTAGGAGCTCTGGTAGCATAGTGCCCAAGGCACTTGACTGCTAACCAGAAGGC